TCAGGTCAGTACCAAGGCAGGTCAGCAATGGATTTGTAAGCAGGATACAAGAAGGACATATGGGAATAGCTGAAGAACAGTCAGCACTGAAAGTGAGCAAGAGCATCCCTTAAATAGGCCATCTGGTGCCAACAGGAACCGTGGACACACTCCACGTGCGCAAATTCCTGCACACATGAATGTGCCTATGTGTGACCAGTACTATGTGCACATCTTTGAGCCCAACGTCTCACAATAGTTTCCTGACGCAAGGGCTTGAGAACAGTTCAGGGCTTCAACCTGCAGACAGGAGGTCCCCAGCTTAGAGGCCAGGGCTTGGGCCAAAGCAGCAAGGAGCTGCAAGAGAGAGAGCCAAGAGAGGCGCAAAGTTGCACGTAGGCACAGGGGTGGTGAGAGGTGGTCTGTGGGACCTGACCAAAGGCTTAGACTTGAGGCCTGAGCAAGAGGTGCTACAAGAGGAAGCCAGGAGGCTTGATGTCACTTTTTTTGTGTTTGAAATGATTGGGGAAACCCCTGTGAGGGCAACCATTTTCCTGGAACATTCTTTTTAATTCAAAGTGGGCCAACAAGCCCTAAAACAGTATTTTTTTGTCTGGACTGGACTCATTGGGAAGCAGAGGGCAACCATTTTCCTGGAACTTTCTTTTTAAATCAAAGTGGGCCAACAAGCCCTAAAACAGTATTTTTTGTCTGGACTGGACTCATTGGGAAGCAGAGGGCAACCATCAACTTTCTTTTTAAATCAAAGGGGCCAAGCACTACACTGGACTCTTGGGAACACTACACTTGAGTAACTAGTATTCCCCTCTTCTCCTCTCTCAGCTGCTATCTAAAAGGTTATGTAGGGAGGTGAGGTGAAGAACAGAGGAGCTGGGCCATCATAGACAGTAATTGGGCACTTCCAGAAGAGGAAAGGGCTATGATGTGCAAGGAGGGAGGTGGGTGTGATGGGAAAATGGAAACTTCCTGGAGTCGTTACATTTTCTAGCAAGTAAAAAGGTACATTGTATGTGATTACATTTTTTTTATGGATAGGAGCACTTATAATTTTGTGCTTATAATCTAGCACTGCAGCACATATTTATTTTTAATAGGAGGCCATGGCTCTACTTTGATATTAACATTTTAAAAAGGCTGGCAGGTTCAGATAAAATTCCAGCCATGCCTTGCACACCTGCCGAAATGTGATATCAGGTGGACGGTTAGCATACACACCCTGAGACTGACATAAAATCGGATTTGAAGTCTCTTCAGCCACTGGAAGCTTTTACAAATATATCACTTTATTTTTAGTTGCTAGATTGGAAGATCTATAAAGTGATGGGTGTTGCATGATGGTGGAATGGCATATTCTGGGTAGACTTTAGGCTGCTTTACATAAAGCAGTTTTAGACCCAAAACCAAACATTTTAAATATCGCAGCTTACCTATCATTAGATGTGGTGGCTGCATCGGTGTTCCTTTCTTTGACTTTTTCCCTTGGAGGGCTTGTTCTTTTGAAAGTTCCAGTTCCAGAAAAAAAAGCTGCATCTTTTTCTGCACTGAACTGTACTCAAACGCATCAACTGAATTTATTCTCTCTTGAGAAGAGGAGATTAAGGGGGGATATGATCTCCATGTATAATACATAAGGGGGGGATATGATCTCCATGTATAATACATAAGGGGGGATATGATCTCCATGTATAATACATAAGGGGGATATGATCTCCATGTATAATACATAAGGGGGGATATGATCTCCATGTATAATACATAAGGGGGGATATGATCACCATGTATAATACATAAGGGGGGATATGATCTCCATGTATAATACATAAGGGGGGATATGATCTCCATGTATAATACATAAGGGGGGATATGATCTCCATGTATAATACATAAGGGGGATATGATCTCCATGTATAATACATAAGGGGGGGATATGATCACCATGTATAATACATAAGGGGGGATATGATCACCATGTATAATACATAAGGGGGGATATAATCACCATGTATAATACATAAGGGGGATATGATCTCCATGTATAATACATAAGGGGGGATATGATCTCCATGTATAATACATAAGGGGGGATATGATCTCCATGTATAATACATAAGGGGGGATATGATCTCCATGTATAATACATAAGGGGGGATATGATCTCCATGTATAATACATAAGGGGGGATATGATCTCCATGTATAATACATAAGGGGGATATGATCTCCATGTATAATACATAAGGGGGGATATGATCTCCATGTATAATACATAAGGGGGGATATGATCTCCATGTATAATACATAAGGGGGGATATGATCACCATGTATAATACATAAGGGGGGGATATGATCTCCATGTATAATACATAAGGGGGGATATGATCTCCATGTATAATACATAAGGGGGATATGATCTCCATGTATAATACATAAGGGGGGATATGATCTCCATGTATAATACATAAGAGGGATATGATCTCCATGTATAATACATAAGGGGGGATATGATCTCCATGTATAATACATAAGGGGGGGATATGATCTCCATGTATAATACATAAGGGGGATATGATCTCCATGTATAATACATAGGGGGGGGGGATATGATCTCCATGTATAATACATAAGGGGGATATGATCTCCATGTATAAATGCATCAGTGGTTCATATAGTGAGTTATTCACCCTGAGGGCAGAGGACAAGGGGGCACTCTTTACGTCTGGAGGAAAAGAAATATAATCTCCAAACACGGAAAGGTTTCTTCGCAGTGAGAGCTGTGAAAATGTGGAATAGACTCCCTCAAGAGTTGGTTCTCGCCAGCTCCGTGGATTGCTTTAAAAAAGTCCTGGATTCTTTCTTGGATACACAGAATATAACTGGATATAACATTTATAGGTAAAGTTGATTCAGGGAACATCCAATTGCCTCTCGGGGGGATCAGGAAGGAATTTTTTTCCCAGCAGGAGCAAATTGGATCGTGCTTTGCTGGGTTTTTTTGCCTTCCTCTGGATCAACTGTGGGTATAGGATTATACCTTTTTTTTTTTTCCTTGGTTGAACTGGATGGACTTTTATCTTTTTTCAGGCTATCTAACAAAGCATTGGAATGCACCTAAATGCACAAAAAACTCACCGGAGCACACATGTTCTTATAGGTGAAGAAAAAAAGAGTGGAAAAATTGCACCAGAATGCATCAAAAATGCACTGAACGCATAAAACACTGCACATCAGGACACATCTGGACTGGGTTTCTATGGTGTGAACCGGCACTAAAAAGTTATTTTTACTCTTGGCATAGTGAACCTCCGTCACACATCCAGCCATGCGGAAAAAGCTCTTGTTTTCCTATATGATGTACACACATACTCAGACCAGCCCGTCTGGCACCAACAACCATGCCATGTTCAAAGTCACTTAAATCCCCTTTCTTCCCTATTCTGATGCTCGGTTTGAACTTCAGCAAGTCGCCTTCACTATGTCTAGATGCCTAAATGCATTGAGTTGCTGCCATGTGATTGGCTGATTAGCAGTTTGTGTTACAAAGTAGTGGAACAGGTGTACCTAATAAAGAGGCTGGTGAGCGTAGACTTTCATTGCACGCCTCTTTATGCATTCATAGATCCCTGAGAACTCAGCTTTCTTCCTTTCATTGTTTTGCTGACTCGTGTGTATTTGTCCTGTTTTGTGCTGCCTCCTACTGGCTGACTCACAGTCTGCTCACCTTGTATTTGGTTTCAGGGATGAATTTGAAGAGGACGGTTACTGCCAGCCATACCGAGGCATCGCCTGCGCCCCGCTTCATCGGGAACCGCACCATTTACATGGAGTCTTTGCACATGCAAGGGGAGATAGAGAACCAAATTACAGGTGTGTAATGTCTAGTCTGTACTCTTACTGGTCTATTTGCCTTCCAGAGGATTCCCCCCTCCCTGACCAAGCCATTTTTTTGCGTTACGGCGGTGCATTATTCTAACTGGCAATTGCGCGGTCATGCAACGCTGCACCCAAATTAAATGTATGTCCTTTTTTCCCACGTATTGAGCTTTCTTTTGGTGGAATTTGATCATATGTGTGCTTTTTTTTTTTGGTCAAATAAGTCCAAAAACACCAGTTTGTGGCGTTTTTACTGCGTTTTTCAGCGTTAGAGCGTTTTTACAGCTAAAAAAAAACTCCTCTAGAAACCCACTAGTCCTCAAGTTTTTTTCCAGCCAAAAAACATCCCAGCCAAAAAACATTGATTCCAGTCTATGTGTGTATGGACACACACATAGGATAACATGCCGGGGATGGACACATAGGATAACATAGGATAACATGATAACATGGATAACATGCCGGGGATGGACACATAGGATAACATGCCGGGGATGGACATAGGATAACATGCGGGGGGATGGACACATAGGATAATATGCCGGGGATGGACACACAGGATAACATGCCGGGGATGGACACACAGGATAACATGCCGGGGATGGACACATAGGATAACATGCCGGGGATGGACACATAGGATAACATGCCGGGGATGGACACATAGGATAACATGCCGAGGATGGACACACAGGATAACATGCCGGGGATGGACACACAGGATAACATGCCGGGAGTGGACACACAGGATAACATGCCGGGGATGGACACACAGGATAACATGCCGGGGATGGACACATAGGATAACATGCCGGGGATGGACACACAGGATAACATGCCGAGGATGGACACACAGGATAACATGCCGGGGATGGACACACAGGATAACATGCCGGGGATGGACACATAGGATAAAATGCCGGGGATGGACACACAGGATAACATGCCGGGGATGGACACATAGGATAACATGCCGGGGATGGACACATAGGATAACATGCCGGGGATGGACACATAGGATAACATGCCGTGGATGGACACACAGGATATCATACCGGGGATGGACACACAGGATAACATGCCGGGGATGGACACACAGGATAAAATGCCGGGGATGGACACACAGGATAACATGCCGGGGATGGACACACAGGATAACATGCCGGGGATGGACACATAGGATAACATGCCGGGGATGGACACATAGGATAACATGCGGGGACGGACACAGAGGATAACACGCGGGGGATGGACACATAGGATAACATGCCGGGGATGGACACAGAGGATAACACGGGGGGATGGACACATAGGATAACATGCTGGGGATGGACACAGAGGATAACACGCGGGGGATGGACACATAGGATAACATGCCGGGGATGGACACATAGGATAACATGCTGGGGATGGACACATAGGATAACATGCTGGGGATGGACACGTAGGATAACATGCCGGGGATGGACACATAGGATAACATGCCGGGGATGGACACATAGGATAACATGCTGGGGATGGACACAGAGGATAACACGCGGGGGATGGACACATAGGATAACATGCCGGGGATGGACACATAGGATAACATGCTGGGGAGTTTACTGGCTGTAGAAAAAAATGTCAAAAGCCAAAAACAGCCGCTGTAAAACCATCAAGAGTGCATGAGGGCTAAAGATTGAACACTGAGCTATGAGTGAGTAGAGTTGACTCAAGTTCCTCTTTAAACTGAAAGTTTTATTTAAAGACGTTTTGGTTTTTTTATGCCCTGACTATAAAAGAAATAAATATACAAACCACTACACACTCTCTTTAATTGTTCTCTCTTTTTTCAGCTGCCTTCACCATGATTGGAACCTCCAACCACCTGTCGGACAAATGCTCCGAGTTCGCCATTCCATCCCTTTGCCACTACGCCTTTCCCTACTGCTCCGAGACCTCGTCCTCCCCCAAACCACGGGACCTGTGCCGGGACGAGTGTGAGATCCTGGAGAACGTCCTGTGCCAAGCCGAGTACATCTTTGCCAGGTCCAACCCTATGATCCTAATGAGACTGAAACTGCCGAACTGCGAGGACCTTCCACAGCCAGACAGCCCTGAGGCCAGTAACTGCATCCGCATTGGAATACCAATGGCTGACCCCATTAATAAGAGTAAGTGCAGACCAGCAGTAAGGAGCTCAATTATTACCCTCTATGTCAACTCACATTATTATTTTCCTTTCTCTCTGTCCCAATAAAAATTGTATTGGATTTTGTAGGTATGGTATACTTTTACATAGTTACACTGGTCCTGTGTGAACCAATGTAACTATATACAATGTATACCATACCTGGCTGACACCCCTAGAAGACTAGTAGAAACCGCTACTCCAGTGATCTCCACTTGTTTTCGGGTCCATGAGACTCCACCAGTGACTAAAATATCACAGTTGATCGGGCTGTTTTTTTAACCCCTTTAGGTCCTGGTGTCTGTTAAGCCTTCATGTGCAGAAAGATTCTAGATGCAAGAGTCTTTCTGAATGTTTTTGAAGGTTCTCAACTATACAGGTCATGGTGTATATGGTAGTAGTAAATCACATTTATCTGGACGTGTCTGTAATGTTGGAGATCTTTCAGAACTTCTCCAAGCCCCTTCTTCAGTTTTTGAGTCAGGGACATTCCCAATAATGTATGTCCACATTAGTAGCACCAACACAATCCACAATCACCATGAAACGTGTAGATGTTAATTGTCCAAAAACAGGATGGGAGAAAGTTGTGGAACCACTTTGTTCTGTTTGCAATCCCATCCTTGGTGTCAGGAAGGCTTCATAGGTGTTATTTCTTCGATTTACATAGCTAAATGTGTGAATTATTGTCAATTCACTGAGGTAAAGATGTATTTTGTATTTACTAATGTTTACATTTTTTTCCATAAAGATCCTACCAGTAGGAATGACCATGGGTCATTGACCCAGTATGACTATGTAGTGATATATGGTCAGTAATTATTAGGTTAGTACTTTTTCATTTCTTCCATAAAGATCCTACCAGTAGGAATGACCATGGGTCATCGACCCAGTATGACTATGTGGTCATATAAGGTCAGTAATTATTAGGTTACTATTTTTTCATTTCTTCCATAAAGATCCTACTATTAGGGATGAGCATGGGTCATTGACCCTTTATGACCATGTGGTCATATTAGATCAGTGATGTCATGAGTATCCCTACCCCTTTGTATGCTTGGAGCTTTGAAATGGGGAATGCCTTGGCGATTGGCCCAGCACTGACAGCTTTCTTCCATGTTTTGGACCAAACCCAAGCTGAACCCAAGCTCCTTCTTACCTACCAGGGACATATGACCAGTATCAGTGTAATTACCTGCCTCCCAACACCTGACCACATGAACAGAGGAAACATTTTCATGGCAAAGTTGTGTTGTGTTCAGTGGTCACCATCCAGTGCCATTGTTCTCTGGTGGGAAAGGATTTAATGGGTTCTGTGCACCAGCCTTTCTCAACCTTTGTATCCCAGAGGAACTACTACAATAATTTTCAGGGCTTTAAGAACCCTTGTTAAAATGAATTCATTGGGAATCTATAAGAAAAATGTCACTTACATTGATAGTCAGTAGGAAGAATGCAATCCTTACAGTGGTGGTCAGAGTGCCACCATTACAGACAGCTAAAAAGATAACGTGGTATCACACTGTTAGCTTTGTTGAGTGATGTTTGTAATGGAACCGACCCAGACTGCGCTTGAGTACTTCCATTAGAATACGCTACCCCGTCCGAACATAGACAACAGACACCACAGCCGACCCATACAAGACTAGACGACACCAATCTTGAAGTAAACCAGGAGGAAGACTAGTTTATTTGAACACAGATACAAGATATGTACACTTATGGGAATATCCCCCCTCCCTGCATAATGACACAGGGCGGGACAATCTACATTAAGTAACAAGAGACACACAGGTATTATTTCACACCAGCAGGAGGGAGGGCTGCGCTAGACACCCCCTACACTAAGCTAATACACATAAACACATACATCCCATAATAGTTTGCTCCCATGCAAGACAAACAATAGAACAATGGGATGCAGCTACATAACATTAAACAATCAACAACCCCCACCCCAATATTAGGACAGATCACCCTGTACCCCAAACAGGCACAGGGTGATTTACACATAAGAGGGATATGGGGAGCTGAGACGGGGTCTCCCCACCTCTCCAAAGTGAGCTGGGTTCCATGGGCCCCCCACCCAAAGTGACTCCCGTCACAGTCCCTGCCCTGTCACCTTTCTTATTTGAGACAAGCACACACTATAGGGGGATATGCTTTGTTTGCATTTCAAGTCTGAGGTTTATAACCACTTTAATTAAGGGCATCTGCACTTACAGTGTTCTCCCAGCTCTTTCCCCCCTAAAGTCCCACAAGTACCCGTTGAGCCTACCACCTAATGCCGTTTCCTGTGATGGGGTGGCAACAATGCTGCACTGCTCCTATGTTCAGAGCAGAGTTACTGTTATTAATATTCTACTACAGGATTTATATAGCGCCAACAGTTTGCTCAGCGCTTTACAATATAATGGGAGACAATACAGTTCAATACAAGAGGGATAGGAGGGCCCTGATCCTGGGAGCTGTTGGCCCAGGATTTATGCAGGAACCAGCAGGTCAGTGTCAAGGTCCTACCTTTTCCCTGAGGTTATGTTACTCCATGTGCTGGCGTCCATCTTGGATTTCTGCTGAGCATGGTGGGAAATCCTTTTATGCCTTCATGTCTCTGAGGTCCATCCCCCAGAGGGGTGTGGCTGATGACATATAAGCCTGTGGTCCGCACATGCTCTTTGCACTTGTGTCTTGTGTCTTTGTGTTGCTATTACGCTGTTCTGACTCTTGTGACTCTCCTGGTATCTGATTCGGCTTGTGACTCGACTATTCTTTGCGGTCGCCTTTCATCTTACCCTCTGTTGCTGAACCCGGCTCGTGACCTGTGATTCTCGTCTGCTGTCCTGTACTGTTTTGTCCTGTTGTTGTTGACCCGGCCTGTCTGACTACTCTTTTGTCTCTTCCACCAGCTACACGCCATTGGCGGCGGCCATTACCGCAGCTGAGGTGTCTCGGGGGGCGCAACCTGGTTCCTGGCTGCGTCAAGTCCATCCCCACCATCAGGGGCCCTGGTGAAGGGCAGCCTGGGACTTAGACTCCGTGCCCTGAGGGACTTCGGTCTGTAGATGGTGGGTTGTCGTCAGCTAGTGCGTTACATTGTTAGGCCTGCCTGTCCGTTCCTCGGCCCCTGCCCTGACAGTCGGAGGTCAATCAGCCCTTAAGGATCAAGGTCAAGGAACCCCTAGCAGCCTCTAGAACCCTGCTTGAGAATGGCTGCTCTGCACCATGACCACCACACTACGCTAAAACTAATATATTCTGAAAAGTCCATGTTTTATCATTTTGGAAGGTTTTTGCCAGAAAACTAAAACTGGTTTTGCCATTTTGTAAATACACTGATATACAGATATCCCATTAGTTCTGGTCAAGAAAATGACATACAGTTGTGTTTCAAAATAATAGCAGTGTGTTGAAAAAAGTGAATAAAGCTGAAAATCCTTCTAATAGCTTTTATTTCCATCCACACAAATGCATTGGGAACACGACACATTCTATTCCAAATCAAAACATGAAGAAAAATACATCAAATTTGTGTTGTTCCTTTAAAAAAATGGAAGAAAAGTGAATATTAGGCGGTTCAAAAAATCGCAGTGTTTGTATTCTTCTTTACAAACTCAAACATTCACTATATAAACTGAGAAATGTTTGAAGATTTTGCTTTCCTTTGAATGACTTCATGAATATTTGGTTGTAGTCGCACTGTTTCTGAGAACTGCTGTACATCTGTGTTGCATGGAGTCACCCAACTTCTGGCCCCTGTGATCAGGTATTCCAGCCCAGGATGATTGGACGACATTCCACAGTTCTTCTCTATTTCTTGGTTTTCCCTCAGAAACTGCATTTTTGATGTCACCCCACAAGTTTTCTATTGGATGAAGATCCGGGGATTGGGCTGGCCACTCCATAACGTCCATCTTGTTGGTCTGGAACCAAGATGTTGCACGTTTACTGGTGTGTTTGGGGTCGTTGTCTTGTTGGAACACCCATTTCAAGGGCATTTCCTCTTCAGCATAAGGCAGCATGACCTCTTCAAGTATTCTGATGTATTCAAACTGATCCATGATCCCTGGTATGCGATAAATAGGCCCAACACCGTAGTATGAGAAACATCCCCATATCATGATGCTTGCACCACCATGCTTCACTGGTCTTCACAGTGTACTGTGGCTTGAATTCAGTGTTTGGGGGTCGTCTGACAAACTGTCTCTGGCCACTAGACCCAAAAAGAACAATCTTACTTTCATCAGTCCACAAAATGTTGCGCCATTTCTCTTTAGGCCAGTCAATGTGCTCTTTGGCAGATTGTAACCTCTTCAGCACACGTCTTTTTTCCAACAGTGGGACTTTGCGGGGACTTCTTGCAGATAGCTTGGCTTCACATAGGCGTCTTCTAATTGTAACAGTCCTCACAGGGAACGTCACACCTTCTTTCATCTTCCAGGAGCTGATTGTTGGCTGAGTCCGCGCCATTTTGGCTATTCTTCTATCCATTCCAATGGTAGTTTTTCGCTTTCTTCCACGTCTTTCAGGTTTTGGTTGCCATTTTAAAGCATTTGCGATCATTTTAGCTGAGCAGCCGATCATTTTCTGCACTTCTTTATATGTTTTCCCCTCTCCAATCAACTTTTTAATCAAGGTACGCTGTTCTTCTGAACAATGTCTGGAACGACCCAGAGAAATGCACTGTAACCAGCATGTACAACATTTGCTGCCTTCCTTCCTTAAATAAGGGCAATAATTGCCACCTGTTTTTCAAAGAATGAATGACCTCACTAATAGAACTCCACACTGCTATTATTTTGAACACGCCCCTTTCAATGAGTGATTCAATGACACAGAATCAGCAGCATGCATGTCATGACTGTTGGGTCTGTTGGATTTCTATTACTCTACTACACCTGCTAGGAAATTATTTGCCATGTAGAAATCATTTCTACCAAAAACAGTGATTGATCCGGTTAGTGATGTCTGACTGCTATTATTCTGAACACAACTGTACATAATGAAATCTAACAGAAGCTGTGTATATCTGATGGTTATATAGTCCAGTCTGTAAAACTACTTCTACTGAAAACCACATGAAACAGTCCATGGCTCTGTCACTTCATTGTGTCATTGATCAGCATGTTCTCAGCCATCCTGCAGTCATACATGGGCCTATTTGGTAAGACGGTGATAATATAACCTTCCTGGTATTTTAAATATTATATCCTAATCATTTATAAACTTACCTACCTTTTACTTTCTTTACCTTATAGTGTTACTTAACCCCCAACAGTACAATCAGTCTGTAGATGCAGTAAAGCATGCTTGTTATACTCAACATGGAACCCAAGGGGTTAATCCTCTGCATTGTTTAAAAAAGGCTGTTTGATCCTGTCTTCCCTGATCCTCTCCTTCTACTGTCCCCAATCCATCTGCTGACAGAAGAGAGCCTTCGAGGCAAGCTGCACATGTTCAGTTTAGTGTGTATTGCTAGATAGTTTTATTTTTTTTCTTGGGAGAGTGCATGTGATCAGCAAAGGGCCAATCAGCGCTGTGCAGACAGAGGGTCAGGGGTTATGCAGCATCATAGGACAATCAGGGGAGAAGCTTTTCACATTCTGCATCCCTTGTTGGTGTCAGTAGAAAGGAATAGTACTCCATCATTGGTGTCAGTGGGGGTAATAGTGCCCCATCGTTGGAGTTAATGGAGGGAATAGTGCTCCATTGTTGGTGGCAGTGGAAGGAAAAGTGCACCATTGTTGGTGGCAGTGGAAGGAAAAGTGCTCCATCGTTGGTGTCAGTGGTAGGAATAATGCTCCATTGATGGTGTCAGTGGAAGGAACAGTGCCCCATCGTTGGTGTCAGTGGAAGGAATCGTGCTCCATCGTTGGTGTTAGTGGGAGGAATAATGCTCCATCGTTGGCGCCAGTGGAAGGAATCGTGCTTCATCGTTGGTGTTAGTGGGAGGAATAGTGCTCCATTGTTGGTGTCAGTGGAAGGAATCGTGCTCCATCTGGTGTCAGTGGAAGGAATCGTGCTCCATCATTGGTGTCAGTGGAAGGAATCGTGCTCCATCGTTGGTGTCAGTGGAAGGAATCGTGCTCCATCGTTGGTGTTAGTGGGAGGAATAGTGCTCCATTGTTGGTGTCAGTAGAAGGAATAATGTTCCATCCTTGGTGTCAGTGGAAGGAATAATTCTTCATTGTTGGTGTCATTAGAAGGAATAATGCTCCATCGTTGGTGTCAGTGGTAGGAATAATGCTCCATTGATGGCGTCAGTGGGAGGAATAGTGCTCCATTGTTGGTGTGAGTAGAAGGAATAATGCTCCATTGTTGGTGTCAATAGGAGGAATAGTGTTCCATTGTTGGTGTCAGTAGGAGGAATAGTGTTCCATTGTTGGTGTCAGTAGAAGGAATAATGTTCCTTCCTTGGTGTCAGTGGAAGGAATAATTCTCCATTGTTGGTGTCAGTAGAAGGAATAATGCTCTATCGTTGGTGTCAGTGGGAGGAATAGTGCTCCATTGTTGGTGTCAGTGGAAGGAACAGTGCCCCATCATTGGTGTCAGTGGAAGGAATCGTGCTCCATCGTTGGTGTCAGTGGGAGGAATAGTGCTCCATTGTTGGTGTCAGTGGAAGGAATAATGCTCCATCGTTGGTGTCAGTGGAAGGAATAGTGCTCGTTGGTGTCAGTGGGAGGAGGGCTGGATAAAAGAAAACAAAGCACAATTTGGAGACCACTGTTTTAATAGATTGTTAGCTCTTCCACCTTCTGTATCCTTCCTTATACCCTAATAGAGTGTAAGCTCTGCCATATTCTGTATTTTCTTCTAAACCCTGATAAGCTCTTCCACCATCGGTCCTCCATTATGCCCCAATAGATTGTAAGCTCTTCCACCATCGGTCCTCCATTATGCCCCAATAGATTGTAAGCTCTTCCACCATCGGTCCTCCATTATGCCCCAATAGATTGTAAGCTCTTCCACCATCGGTCCTCCATTATGCCCCAATAGATTGTAAGCTCTTCCACCATCGGTCCTCCATTATGCCCCAATAGATTGTAAGCTCTTCCACCCTCGGTCCTCCATTATGCCCCAATAGATTGTAAGCTCTTCCACCATCGGTCCTCCATTATGCCCCAATAGATTGTAAGCTCTTCCACCATCGGTCCTCCATTATGCCCCAATAGATTGTAAGCTCTTCCACCATCGGTCCTCCATTGTGCCCCAATAGATTGTAAGCTCTTCCACCCTCGGTCCTCCATTGTGCCCCAATAGATTGTAAGCTCTTCCACCATCGGTCCTCCATTATGCCCCAATAGATTGTAAGCTCTTCCACCCTCGGTCCTCCATTATGCCCCAATAGATTGTAAGCTCTTCCACCATCAGTCCTCCATTGTGCCCCAATAGATTGTAAGCTCTTCCACCATCTGTCCTCCATTGTGCCCCAATAGATTGTAAGCTCTTCCACCATCGGTCCTCCATTATGCCCCAATAGATTGTAAGCTCTTCCACCATCGGTCCTCCATTATCCCCCAATAGATTGTAAGCTCTTCCACCATCGGTCCTCCATTGTGCCCCAATAGATTGTAAGCTCTTCCACCCTCGGTCCTCCATTATGCCCAATAGATTGTAAGCTCTTCCACCATCGGTCCTCCATTATGCCCCAATAGATTGTAAGCTCTTCCACCATCGGTCCTCCATTATGCCCCAATAGATTGTAAGCTCTTCCACCATCGGTCCTCCATTATGCCCCAATAGATTGTAAGCTCTTCCACCATCGGTCCTCCATTATGCCCCAATAGATTGTAAGCTCTTCCACCATCGGTCCTCCATTATGCCCCAATAGATTGTAAGCTCTTCCACCATCGGTCCTCCCATTGTGCCCCAATAGATTGTAAGCTCTTCCACCATCGGTCCTCCATTATGCCCCAATAGATTGTAAGCTCTTCCACCATCGGTCCTCCATTATGCCCCAATAGATTGTAAGCTCTTCCACCATCAGTCCTCCATTATGCCCCAATAGATTGTAAGCTCTTCCACCATCGGTCCTCCATTATGCCCCAATAGATTGTAAGCTCTTCCACCATCGGTCCTCCATTATGCCCAAATAGATTGTAAGCTCTTCCACCATCGGTCCTCCATTATGCCCCAATAGATTGTAAGCTCTTCCACCATCGGTCCTCCATTGTGCCCAATAGATTGTAAACTCTTCCACCATCGGTCCTCCATTATGCCCCAATAGATTGTAAGCTCTTCCACCATCGGTCCTCCATTGTGCCCAATAGATTGTAAACTCTTCCACCGTCTGTTTCCTTTCCTATGTTGTTAGTTCTTCTACCGCCTCCTGTATGAATTCCAGTGAAAATCCTTTACTCCTCTGTTTTCTTTCCAGACCACAAATGCTACAACAGCACAGGGGTGGATTACCGCGGCACAGTGAGCGTCACCAAATCTGGACGGCAGTGCCAGCCGTGGAATTCGCAATACCCGCACACTCACACGTTCAACGCCCTGCGTTACCCTGAACTGACCGGGGGTCATTCGTACTGCAGAAACCCCGGCAACCAGAAGGAGGCTCCGTGGTGCTTCACGTTGGACGAAAACATGAAACACGAAATTTGCGACATTCCGGCCTGCGGTAAGTACAAATCGGCCTCCTTCTACCTTATGAGTGTGCTACTAAGATGTGCTAACCGTGATTAGCCAACTGGATTGAGGGCGGGGCTTAAAGGACAACTCCAAGTCAGGTCCCACAACATTTTGGGCTTGAAGAAGAGAGTAGACTTTCTCTCCGACTCCAGCCTCATGGTTGTATATCCTTTGATGTCATCCAGTACAATGCAGGGTCCATAGCAGTGCATTGGACGTGACAACGCTAAAGGACAGTCGGCTTCCAGAACAAAGGGGTGTATAGGAGAGCTGGCTGAGGGGGGAGAGGGGGATTGGATAAGTAGAAGTGCTTTTTCCTATACCCTAGACATAGACAAGCATTTACTTCTTGCGGTGTGGGGGCATCTCAACTACAGCAAAGCGGGGGGGGGGGGGTTCAACCGGAAAATACAATTCCAGCACCTCCAGCACTAAATGTATGTACTGGCAAAGGGTACTAGGGGATTCTGGAGGGTCTACCGATGCAGGCTGCTAGTGGGATCTATTATGGTTGGGGGTATAGTTTTGCTGGGGGGGATCTGTTGTTGCTGGTGGGGGATCTGTTGCTATTAGGGGGATATAACATATTCATAAAGTACTGTCCCCTTCAATCGTCAAAGTATATTAGCTGCTGCTGGGGGATTTATTGTTGCTGCTGGGGGTGGGGGGCTATTTTTGCAGGGGGATCTACTGTTTTGAAGGATGTCTATTGTTGCTGGCTGATGGAGGGTCTGATGTTGCTAGGTCTGATCTATGGTTGCAGGTTGGGGATCTATTGTTCCTGGTTGGGGTCTGTTGTTGGGGTTGATCTATTGTTTGCAGGTTGGGGATCTATTGTCACTCCTTAGGGGGGAGTCTGTTTTTGCTAGGGTTGATCTATTGTTGCAAGCTGGGGAACTATTGTCACTGGGGGATCTATTGTTACTTCTTAGGGGGGGTGTCTGTTGTTGCTAGGGTTGATATATTGTTGCAGGTTGGGGATCTGTTGTCACTGGGGGGTCTATTGTTGCTTGTTGATGAGGTTGAACCATTGTTACAGGTTGGGAATCTACTGTTGCTGTGGGTCTGTTGATGCAGCAGTTGATATTTTATTGCAGAGTGGGGATCTATTGTTGTTTGGTGGCCTATTGTTGCTGAGCTTGATCTGTTGTTGCAGGTTGGGGATGCATTGTTGCTGAGCGGTCTATTATTGCTGGGTGGCTCTTGTTTCTGCTGGGGGATCTATTCTTACTGTGGGGATCTGTTGATCCTGCCATGGAGGTCCTTGTTCAGGCATTTCCAGGCACCTTTTGCATTATTGCAGGGTGATCTACTGTTTTTAGGGAGATCTATTGTTGCTGGCTTCTGGAAGGTCTGTTGTTGCTAAGTTTGATCTATGGTTGTACGTTGTGGATCTATTGTTCTTGGGTGGGGTCTGTTGTTGCTGTGGTTGATCTATTGTTGCAGTTTGGGAATCTTTTGTCGCTTCTTAGGGGGGAGTCTATTGTTGCTAGGGTTGATCTATTGATGCAGGCTGGGGATCTATTGTTCCTGGAGGGAATATATTGTTGCTTGTTCATGAGGTTGATCTTTTGTTGCAGACTGGAGATCTATTGTTGCTGTAGGTCTGTTGTTTCTAGGGTTGAACTCCTGCTACAGGCTGGGGATCTATTGTTGTTGGGGGTCTGTTATTTCCAGGGTTGAACTCCTGCTACGGGCTGGGGATCTATTGTTGCTGGGGGTCTGTTGTTTCCAGGGTTGAACTTCTGTTACAGGCTGGGGATCTATTATTGCTGGGGGTCTGTTGTTTCCAGGGTTGAACTCATGTTACAGGCTGGGGTCTATTATTTTTCCAGGGTTGAACTCCTGCTACAGGCTGTGGATCTCTTGTTGCTGGGGGTCTGTTGTTTCCAGGGTTGAACTCCTGCTACAGGCTGGGGATCTATTGTTGCTGGGGGTCTGTTGTTTCCAGGGTTGAACTCCTGCTACAGGCTGGGGATCTATTGTTGCTGCGTGTCTGTTGTTTCCAGGGTTGAACTCCTGTTACAGGGTGGGGATTTATTGTTGTTGGAAGGTCTCTTGTTGCTGAGCTTGATCTATTGTTGCAGGCTGGAGATCTATTGTTGTTGGAGGGTCTCTTGTTGCTGAGCTTGATCTATTGTTGCTGGGGTCTGTTATTTCCAAGGTTGAACTCCTGCTACAGGCTGGGGATCTATTGTTGCTGTGGTCTGTTGTTTCCAGGGTTGAACTCCTGCTACAGGCTGGGAAATTAATTGGTGCTGGGGGTCTGTTATTTCCAGGGTTGAACTCCTGTTACAGGCTGGGGATCTATTGTTGTTGGAGGGTCTCTTGTTGCTGAGCTTGATCTATTGTTGCAGGTTGGGGATCTATTGTTGCTGAGCAGTCTATTGTTACTGGTTCTGTTTTTGCTGGGGAGAATCTATTCTTGCTGTGGGGATCTATTGGTGATCCTGCCGTGGAGGTGCTTGTTCAGGCATTTCTAGGCACTTCCTGTGATAGGGTGACAACCCTCTCCCAATTCTGCGTCTATGTTGTCACCTTGTCACACATTCTGTAACAAAAAAGGAAAAAAAATATTTTATTAGAAAAAAAAATCTAAAGGCAATTGATTATAATTCGCGGTGATTGGCCGCCCTTCAGTTAAGGTTTACATCTACTTAAACTCTGTAAATGGAGGAGATGGGCCTGGAAGGGTCGCCCCCTCTGCAGCCCGGTAGCACGTAGCATGGAACAAGGGCCCTGTATCCAGGAGCGGTGTTTTCTCTTTTATTGTGGAAGGAGGAGAGGCCCCGTGTCAGCGGTGCTACTGTGCTGTGTGATCTGGGAGCCTCAGGACACAGGCCGCCTTTGTAGCTCCTGAAAAACGAGCCCAGCGGAGGAGAACGGCGCAGCCTGGAAGCCGAAGCCGCAACATCCCAAACAGGAAATTCCCAGGCCAGGCAAACTTCACCGCTGATGCATGTGTTCTGCAACCCGAGTAATGACATGAAATCTTCTGGCTGCCGCTGTTTACAAGGAAACACAATATCCACAGTGATCTACAGGATCCCCCGACGTGGCGAGAACTGGAGGGAGGCCGCCATTGGGGCCCTAATTAGCCCCATTACTCTCCACTTCCCACTTAGCAAGCTTGCGGTCGCCACTTAGGATGCTATATTTGCCGATATACAGTTGTGTTCAAAATAATAGCAGTGTGGTGAAAAAAGTGAATAAAGCTGAAAATCCTTCTAATAGCTTTTATTTCCATCCACCCAAATGCATTGGGAACACGACACATTCTATTCCAAATCAAAACATGAAGAAAAATACATCAAATTTGTGTTGTTCCTCTAAAAAAAATTGAAGGAAAAAGTGAATATTAGACTGTTCAAAAAAATCGCAGTGTTTGTATTCTTCTTTACAAACTCAAACATTCACTATATAAACTGAGAAATGTTTGAAGATTTTGCTTTCCTTTGAATGACTTCATGAATATTTGGTTGTAGTCGCACTGTTTCTGAGAACTGCTGTACATCTGTGTTGCATGGAGTCCCCAACTTCTGGCCCCTGTGATCAGGTATTCCAGCCCAGGATGATTGGACCACATTCCACAGTTCTTCTCTATTTCTTGGTTTTGCCTCAGAAAACTGCATTTTTGATGTCACCCCACAAGTTTTCTATTGGATGAAGATCCGGGGATTGGGCTGGCCACTCCATAACGTCCATCTTGTTGGTCTGGAACCAAGATGTTGCACGTTTACTGGTGTGTTTGGGGTCGTTGTCTTGTTGGAACACCCATTTCAAGGGCATTTCCTCTTCAGCATAAGGCAGCATGACCTCTTCAAGTATTCTGATGTATTCAAACTGATCCATGATCCCTGGTATGCGATAAATAGGCCCAACATCGTAGTATGAGAAACATCCCCATATCATGATGCTTGCACCACCATGCTTCACTGTCTTTACAGTGTACTGTGGCTTGAATTCAGTGTTTGGGGGTCGTCTGACAAACTGTCTCCGCCCACTAGACCCAAAAAGAACAATCTTACTTTCATCAGTCCACAAAATGTTGCGCCATTTCTCTTTAGGCCAGTCAATGTGCTCTTTGGCAGATTGTAACCTCTTCAGCACATGTCTTTTTTCCAACAGTGGGACTTTGCGGGGGCTTCTTGCAGATAGCTTGGCTTCACAAAGGGGTCTTCTAATTGTAACAGTCCTCACAGGGAACGTCACACCTTCTTTCATCTTCCTGGAGCTGATTGTTGGCTGAGTCCGCGCCATTTTGGCTATTCTTCTATCCATTCGAATGAAGCCGATCATTTTCTGCACTTCTTTATATGTTTTCCCCTCTCCAATCAACTTTTTAATCAAGGTACGCTGTTCTTCTGAACAATGTCTGGAACGACCCATTTTCCTCAGAATTTCAGAGAGAAATGCACTGTAACCAGCATGTACAACATTTGCTGCCTTCCTTCCCTAAATAAGGGCAATAATTGCCACCTGATGTTCAAAGAATGAATGACCTCACTAATAGAACTCCACACTGCTATTATTTTGAACACGCCCCTTTCAATGAGTGATTCAATGACACAGAATCAGCAGCATGCATGTCATGACTGTTGGGTCTGTTGGATTTCTATTACTCTACTACACCTGCTAGGAAATTGTTTGCCATGTAGAAATATCATTTCTGCCAAAAACAGTGATTGATCCGGTTAGTGATGTCTGACTGCTATTATTTTGAACACAACTGTACATTATTTAGGAGTTTTAAATACGTTTTCTGGAGATGCTACAGAGAGCAGAATGTTGGATCATTCAAGGCTTGGTTTGCATTATTGTGTGTGCAGGTGCATGCGCGGTCGCGTGTTGGGCAGCTCATTGTAAGGGCTGCCCTATGTGCAATAAAGCAGGGAAAAGTCCAAAATGTTATAAACATAAATCACCAGCGCCAAATTAGAAAAAATGTATTAAAACAAATAAATGCTGCTGCTCAATAGTGCAAAACCTACACCAAAAAGTATCTTAAACACACACAGCACAAAAAATTCATGTGTTACACCCCAAAAAATTTGATCATAACATAAATAGAAAACTATAAATAAAAATATAAATAAAATGAATATTATAGAGCAAAAGTCCCACTCCAAAATAAAGTGAAAAAAAATTATATGTAAAAAAAATCCTTAAAAAAACACAAAGTCCTTTTTCCAAAAAAGTGCTCAAACAATATATATCGCACTCACCAGATTAAGGTGAAAAAGTCCAAAATGACCAAAAAAAAAAGTTTTGCTGTTGGTTCTACTTTAATAGTGTCCCCTCTGTCCTATAGCAGAAATACTTCTACAGGGCGGCACGGATGCACAAAATCACATTTTTACGTGATTTTGCAGATCCAGGTAGGAGGCGCGTGCGCCCTACCTGTGCCGCCATTCACGGCTTCAGCTGTCAATCAGCAGGTCCCGGGCGGTCGATTGCTCGCTGGCACCTGGTGATCGCTAAGTATTACCGACAGGGGAGAGACCTTTATGTAAACAATACATATCTCTCCCCTGTCAGATACTGCACACTGCTTTGTATGGCTCTGCATGGCAGAGCCATACAAAGCAGTGTGCTTACAGTGGAAACCACAGCACACAGCCCCCATAGTAAAACAGCACACAGTTAACCCTTTGATTGTCCCAGATGTTAACTCCTTCCTGCCCAGTGCCATTAGTACAGCGTCAGTGGTTTTTATTAGCACTGATCACTGTATTGGTGTCACTGGGGATGTCAGTGACACCAAGTCAGTCCCCCCCCCCCAGTGTCAGAATGCCCACCGCAGACCCGCTATAAGGCGCTGATCGACGCCATTACTAGTTAAAAAAAAAATCCAGTATATATACTGCCATTTGTAAACACTATAACTTTCACGTAAACCAATTCATTTACACATATTGGGATTTTTTTTAGCAATCACACGCGATTTCTGTCCAGTGCCATTTGAGCCATACATTTTGTATGACTCAAAACGCAGCGCATGCTCACCAAAATAGTGCAGGAGACTTTTTTTTTGTCCACGCCAGAATTGGATCGCATGGGTGATCTGCACATCGCATCTGTTTTTGCAAACCGATTTCAGGGTGTTGTTAACTTAAAATACACACCCACAGCAGTTCGCATGAATGGGGTGACAATATGATGCGGTGCGCAAATCACACAAACTGGTGCAAATTCCGCACCGCATCAGTGTGAACCCGGGCTAAAAGGATGCAGACCCTGCCACGTTCCTCAGAGCCCCCCCGGGTGTACCAGCTGATTGATAATTATAAAACCACTCCCATACAGATTCACTTCCCACATGGACACAGACAAACAAACAGCTCTGGCTGACTGATTTTTCCCAGAAGTCTGTGCTAAGATACAAGTCGGATTTCAGGCATCCTCTGCAACAAAAATTTCATTTTTTTGGTGAGGTACTCCCAATAGGTAATCACGTCTAAAAGGATGCAGACCCTGCCACTTTCCTCAGAGCCCCCCCCCCAGTGTACCAGCTGATTGATAATTATAAAACCACTCCCACACAGATTCACTTCCCACATGGACACAGACAAACAAACAGCTCTGGCTGACTGATTTTTCCCAGAAGTCTGTGCTAAGATACAAGTCAGATTTCAGGAATCCCCTGCAACAAAAATTTCATTTTTTTGGTGAGGTACTCCCAATAGTAAATCACGTCTAAAAGGATGGTACACCGGGGGGGAGAGGGGGGCTCTGAGGAAAGTGGCAGGGTCTGCCACTTTCCTCAGAGCCCCCCCTCCCCCCCCGGTGTACCAGCTGATTGATAATTATAAAACCACTCCCATACAGATTCACTTCCACACGGACACAGACAAACAAACAGCTCTTGCTGACTGATTTTTCCCAGAAGTCTGTGCTAAGATACAAGTCAGATTTCAGGCATCCCCTGCAACAAAAAATGTCATTTTTTTGGTGAGGTACTCCCAATAGGTAATCACGTCTAAAAGGATGCAGACCCTGCCACTTTCCTCATTAGAGCCCTGCAGGTGCAGCAGCTGATTGATAATTATAAAACCACTCCCATACAGAGTCACTCTGCACATGGACACAGACAAACAAGCAGCTATTTCTTCAGAATAACAAAAGGTAGGAATCTGCAACAAAGTTTGTTAAAATCCCTGCAATGTACATAGATCACCCAGAGGGGAAGGTTTTTTTCCTCAACAAAAGTGGAGTTACTCTTTAAATAATAAATACATCAATGGTATTCTTACCCCCATTTCCTTTGTGTACCATATACAAGTATAGTACCGTGAATGAGTCATTAATGATCTGAACCTCTATATTCCAGACTCCAAAGATTCCAAAGAAAAGAACAAAATGGAGATACTTTACATCTTGGTCCCCAGTGTCACCATCCCGCTGGCCATCGCTTTGCTTTTCTTCTTCATCTGTATCTGCCGGAATAACCAGAAGGCGTCGTCCCCAGCAGTGCCGCGGCAGCCCAAACACGTCCGAGGACAGAATGTCGAGATGTCCATGCTGAATGCTTACAAGCCAAAGGTAATACATACAGAAAGACCGGCTGTCCCCTCTTTGGTTTTATAGACAGAGCCGTTGATTACAATTACATTGGGGTGCAGCTCGGCTTTTATTTTCAGTTTTGTACAAAGTAGGGAATGGTAAAATATATCTAAAGTCAAACATTTTTTGTCTAGTTTTGGATGTGGTAGGGTTGGTTAAAAATGGGCGTGGTACTGACACCCCCCAGATGATCCACATTGGCTCACAATTGATATGATCCAGAAATATTTAGACAGAATAAAGGTGAATAAAGCACCTGGACGGATGGCATAACACCCACGGGGCCTTACAGAATTGAGCTCTGTCATTTCAAAGCCATTGTTTCTCATTTTGTTAGGGGCTCTTTAATGACTGGCATAGTACCACTGGATTGGCGTAAAGCCAATGTGGTGCCAATATTTAAAAAGGGGTCAAAATCTTTACCAAGTAATTACAGATCCTGTTAGTTTAACTTCTGTAAGTTGGGAATAAAGATACTGGAGAGTTTAATAAAAGACCTCATAGATGAGTTCTTGCTGGAAAGAGGGGTGGCTGTGGACGTGGTATACTTGGACAGAGGGGTGGCTGTGGACATGGTATACTTGGACAGAGGGGTGGCTGTGGACGTGGTATACTTGGACAGAGGGGTGGCTGTGGACGTGGTATACTTGGACAGAGGGGTGGCTGTGGACGTGGTATACTTGGACAGAGGGGTGGCTGTGGACGTGGTATACTTGGACAGAGGGGTGGCTGTGGACATGGTATACTTGGACAGAGGGGTGGCTGTGGACGTGGTATACTTGGACAGAGGGGTGGCTGTGGACGTGATATACTTGGACAGAGCGGTGGCTGTGGACGTGATATACTTGGACAGAGCGGTGGCTGTGGACGTGGTATACTTGGACAGAGGGGTGGCTGTGGACGTGGTATACTTGGACAGAGGGGTGGCTGTGGACGTGGTATACTTGGACAGAGGGGTGGCGGTGGACGTGGTATACTTGGACAGAGGGGTGGCTGTGGACGTGGTATACTTGGACAGAGGGGTGGTGGTGGACGTGGTATACTTGGACAGAGGGGTGGCTGTGGACGTGGTATACTTGGACAGAGGGGTGGAGGTGGACGTGGTATACTACAGAGGGGTGGAGGTGGACAGAGGGGGGAGCTGGACGTGGTATACTTGAACAGAGGGGTGGCAGTGGACGTGGTATACTTGGATTTTGCAAAAGCATTTGACACAGTTCCCCATACACAGCTAATCTGTAAGGTAAAGTCTACAGGCTTGGAAAAATCCATATGTAAATGTATAGAAAAGTGGCTAAAAGATCATATTCAGAGAGCAGTGCTTAATTATTCATACTCTGAATGGTCTAGGGTTGTCAGTGGGGTACCCCAAGGTTTAGTGTTATTAGTGGTGTACCCCAAGGTTCAGTGTTGGGATCCTTACTTTTTAATATATTTATAAACAATATAGGGTCTGGGATTATAAATCCCATTTCAGTCTTTGCAGATGACACCAAGCTGTGCCGGGGAATAACGTCCTTACAGGATGTCTCCAATTTACAAGCCGACCTCAATGCTCTGTGTAATTGGGCAACTATGTGGCAAAAGAGGTTTAATGCTGATAAATGTAAGGTTCTGCACTTGGGGGCTAAGAATATGCATGTATCATACATACTAGGGGGGTACAACTGGGGGGATCAATGGTGGAGAAGGATCTGGTAGTTCTGGTAGATCACAAGCTTAATAATGGCAGCAATGCCAAGCTGCGGGATCTAAAGCGATAAAAATCCTCTCCATGTATAAATACATAAGGGGGGGGGATATGATCTCCATGTATAATACATAAGGGGGATATGATCTCCATGTATAATACATAAGGGGGATATGATCTCCATGTATAATACATAAGGGGGGGATATGATCTCCATGTATAATACATAAGGGGGATATGATCTCCATGTATAATACATAAGGGGGGGATATGATCTCCATGTATAATACATAAGGGGGATATGATCTCCATGTATAATACATAAGGGGGGATATGATCTCCATGTATAATACATAAGGGGGGATATGATCTCCATGTATAATACATAAGGGGGGATATGATCTCCATGTATAATACATAAGGGGGGATATGATCTCCATGTATAATACATAAGGGGGGGGAATATGATCTCCATGTATAATACATAAGGGGGGATATGATCTCCATGTATAAATACATCAGTGGTTCATATAGTGAACTCGGTGTAGTTCTTCACCCTGAGGTCATCACAGAGGACAAGGGGGCACTCTTTCTTGTATGATATCCATGTATAATACATAAGTTGAGGAAAATAAATTTAATCTCCAAATACGGAAAGGTTTCTTCACAGTGAAAGCTGTGAAAATGTGGAATAGACTCCCTCAAGAGTTGGTTCTGGCCAGCTCAGTGGATTGCTGTAGGAAAGTCCTGGATTCTTTCTTGGATACACAGAATATAACTGGATATAACATTTATAGGTAAAGTTGATCCAGGGAATATCCGATTGCCTCTCGGGGGATCAGGAAGGAATTTGTTTCCCTGCAGGAGCAAATTGGATCATGCTTTGCTGGGGGGTTTTTTTGCCTTCCTCTGGATCAACTGTGGATATAGGATTATAACTTTTTTTTTCTTAATGGTTGAACTGGATGGACTTTTATCTTTTTTCATCCAGACTAACTATGTAACTATGTATGATGCCCCTAACCATTACATGTTTCAAAGAGTCCTTCAAGTGAGGTGAACTTTTGTACCAAACACTGCTCTGTATACATCCAAGAATGTACCTTGTGGGAATAACAGGAAATGAGGAGAAATCTCCAGTGTGAGACTTCCCTGCTAAGACAGTTATTAGCAGAATAAGTGTCCATGTTGAAAAATTTCCCCTTTGTTCCTGTGTGGATGACTTCTCAAAATTTTGGATTTCCCATCACTTTCAGTTCTGGTGACAATGGTCACCAGGACAAATCCGTATCCTATGGATATGAGATCATATGATCCAGAAGTTATGGATATGAGGTCATATGATCTGGGTCCAATGGATATGAGATCATATGATCTTGATCCAATGTATATGAGGTAAAATGATCTGGAACCTATACATATGAAGTAATATGATCCAGAACCTTTGAATATGAGGTCATGTGGTCAGTACCAATGGATATGGAGTAATATGATCTGGAACCTATGGATATGAGATCATATGATCCAGAAGTTATGGATATGAGGTCATATGATCTGGGTCCAATGGATATGAGGTAAAATGATCTGGAGCCTATAAATATGAAGTAATATCATCCAGAACCTTTGAATATAAGGTCATGTGGTCAGTACCAATGGATATGAAGTACAATGATCTGGAACCTATGGATATGAGATCATATGATCCAGAAGTTATGGATATGAGCTCATATGATCTGGGTCCAGTGGATATGAGGTAAAATGATCTGGAACCTATAAATATGAAGTAATATCATCCAGAACCTTTGACTATAAGGACATGTGGTCAGTACCAATGGATATGAAGTAATATGATCTGGAACCTATAAATATGAAGTAATATCATCCAGAACCTTTGAATATAGGGTCATGTGGTCAGTACCAATGGATATGAAGTAATATGATCTGGAACCTATAAATATGAAGTAATATCATCCAGAACCTTTGACTATAAGGTCATGTGGTCAGTACCAATGGATATGAAGTAATATGATCTGGAACCTATAAATATGTAGTAATATCATCCAGAACCTTTGAATATAAGGTCATATGGTCAGTACCAATGGATATGAAGTAATATGATCTGGAACCTATGGATATGAGATCATATGATCCAGAAGTTATGGATATGAGGTCATATGATCTGGGTCCTGTGGATATGAGGTAAAATTATCCGGAACCTATAAATATAAAGTAATATAATCCAGAACCTTTGAATATGAGGTCATGTGATCCAGTACCAATGGATATGAAGTAATATGATCTAGAACCTTTGAATATGAGGTCATGTGATCCAGTACCGATGGATATGGAGTAATATGAACCTATGGATATGCGGTCATAGGATCTGGAAACCTGTGGATGATTTCATATGCTTGCTACTGAGCAACCATTGCATTGTTACTTTACATTGTTACTGGTTCTGATATAGATCTGTCAGTCCATCCAAGATTTAACCAGTGTTGAGTCCTGATGAAGTGAGAAGTAGTGTTGCCCCTTGAATGGTTTGGCTGTTTTTTATGACCTACTCCCCAACAGTTGAAGTTATCTGGGGCTCTTTCATCCTTTTTTGGTCTAGCGCTCCTTTCTTTATTTCTTTGATATGATCCAGGCTGACCCGATCACCCGGCCTACGTAGAGCAACCATGTCACCTCATATCTGCAGCCAGCTTCCACCCGGTATGACCAGCATGTTTCAACAGACAGCAAACATAAAACTCAGTTCCTTCTAAAACCTTACAAAGTCATTTAGAAAGGAAATAAAAAGAGTTTAGAAAACAGCCATCATAGATGCATATCAGTTACAATAACAGTATGAGAAAAAAAAAACAAAAAAACATTTTTAGCTTTTTGATTCTTCAGACGATGGATCTAATAAAGCTAATCCTTGCCTTCTCCAATAAAATGAAGATACTGATGGCAAGACAGGAACAGCCGGATTGAATTTTCCATCATAGAATGTTTACTCTGGCCCCAGTTCAACTCCAGCGTACTCATATACATTTTCTCCCGTACATCGTCACACAACACGTACTTGTCAAACACAAAAGACCTCATCATGGGCAGTTCCCATTGGCTTAGGAAGACTCGGGACTGCCAGATCTTAATGGGCTCTCTTCATTAGCAAGTCTTATGATGCCGGTTTAGGCAGGCGAAGGTCATTCAGAGGACATCACACGTTCATTGCTGAGATATAATTTACTATATATCAGGATCTAAACAAGTTTGGCCTTCAGGATTTGGGTAATGTAAA